AGTTTTTTCTATTAAAATACGCGTTTTTACACGTTTTTTACAAGAATAAAACGCGTAGAACCGCGTTAAGTCCTAACGAAAATAAATTCCCAAAAAGCGCACATTTTCAAGTGTTTTTACGCGTATTTTTGAAAGTTTTGTCTGTCTGGGCATAGATATATTAAAGAATATATTCTTCAGAAATTAATGATATTTTTTTATTAAGAATTGTAACTTTTATTCATTTCTAATGAAATACAACATCGATCAAATAAAGACAAAGAACGAAAAGAAATTTTTGAAAAGTAAATGTATAAAATCATTGAAATATTTCTCAAATTAATTTCATTAATGATAAAAAAAAGATATGAAGAATAATTAAATGAAACGAACATTTTTATTAAATTATCAATTGAAAATATAAATAAGAATACGAAATGTTTTACTCAAAATTGAATAACAAAGAGAAAATGATTTCTTCTATTGAATTACTTCGAAAAATATTTATGGTTTCACTTCTGATTGTCAATTAAATGAGAAAAGAGTATAAAACCTTTTCCATATTCATTTTCTAATATGTTGCTCGCAAAAGAAAAGTTTGCAGTTACAATTTCATATATTCTTCATGAAATCATTGTCGAATTTAAATATTTTCTTTTAAATTTATTTATTAACATTTGCATTCAATTGTATTAAAAGAACAAATTGTAGGATGAGTCATCAATGAAATTCAATTCTATGTGAACTATATTGGGAGAATATTCAATATGATTTTCGAATTGAATTAATGTTTTATCGTCTCTTCTTTTAATGTTTCATTATAAACATGTCCAATCAAAAAACCTCTTTAAAAACGAATTTTCATTTTATTCACAAACAATATGACAATGAGCAACATGAATTCTTCTGTATATCGAAAATATCTTATCGTGATTTCGTTCGATACACTGTGTACATTTTTCTGTTGATCTTTATCTAATCTCACAAGTTCACTCATCATCATCAAAAACAATACAAATGTGTGTTATAGGAAAACAATTTCACAATTATTTTATTAATCACTTTTAAAGTAAATACAATTAGATCACATTTTTATTAAACAAATGAATCGCAAAAATAAATGATAAAAATCAGAATATTTGATCAATTAGTTTTTGTTTAGTTTTGTTATCTCATATTTATTTTAACAAATTCCATTTAATACAGATGATCCATTATTGCAACCAGCACATACATAATCAGAATATCCATTACGAAGAGGGACACAAGTTCCACCTCTATTTGCTGAATTACAATTAACCATAGTACATGGATTAGCTGTTAGAGAAAATCAAAATGATTCGACATGTTACTGATAGAGAATCATTTACCTGGACATGGTTTGTTTAGAGTATTTGGCCCATAAACACAATTGGTACATTGGTAACTAGTAGTTCCATTTCCAACTGCAACACAAGTACCAACACTATCAAGTTGAGTACAATTAGCACCTGTCAGACAAGGATTATCTATTAAGACGAGAAAAGCAAATCATTTCGAGTCAGAAATCGTTTATAACTTCTTACTTGGACATGAAGTATTGTTTACATTAGGACTATAAGTACATCCTGTACATTGATAATTTGCAGTTCCATCACCAAATGCAACACAAACACCGCTGCCGTTATTTGATGTGCAAGGAGTCGCTGACAAACACGGATCCGCTTTAGTTATCAAATGTAAAACGATAAGACCATCTTTTAAGTGGCAAAATAATCGAATTACCTGGACATGGACTATTATATGTATTTGAACCGTATTTACAAGAAACACAATGATAGTTTGTAGTTCCACCACCAATTGCGCTACAAGTGCCCGCGCCATTAAGTTGACTACAATTAACTGTTGTCGAACATGGACTTGCTAGAATTTCGAAAGAAACAAGATTATATAGGCGAATCAACTATGTATAATTGATTACCTGGACATGGCTTGTTACTTGTATCAGCACCATAATTGCATCCAGTGCATTGATAATTACCGCTGCCGTCAAATGTTGCCACACAGTTGCCACCGCCATTAAGACTAGTGCAAACACCTCCCAACGAGCACGAGTCAGCTAAAAATGAAAAGTAGAATAGTGCCAATTGCTTAATCACACTATTGTTCTCAACATAGTTTTCATGAAAGAGTCAATGAACCTAATATAACATTCTACTTGACATAAATATCGTTTAGTTGTATTCCGTACATCATAAGTATTTGTAACATTAAACTCAATGATATCTCAAGTACTCCTTACACACGTATAAGCTTGGATAAAACATCAAACAATACAAGTCTATATGATCACAATACCACAACTAAGGTCTAAACAGAATGAAGTCTCTTGTTTCATACATAAACTCCATTCACCAAGAAAAAGCTTAATGACAGTTTCCGCCATTTTCTATCAGATAAATTCTTACACATATTAGAAAACCCAAGTTCTTCAATTCTGTCATTTCATTCATGTAATTTTACAAGGGTCTTCTACTATGTCGTGAAGAAAATATATACGAAAGAATGTTTAAACTTTCTTTTCACTCGTGAAGAATCAAACTCCTCGTCTTAAAAGGGGAGATCTTCTGATGTACGAGGTTTATTCATATGTCTTAGGCTTTACTCGTGGTACTTGTACTTGTAGTTGACGTCGATGTTGAGGTAGATGAGGTAGAAGTAGAGGTGGACGTTGATGTTGTGGATGTCGATGACGTCGAGGTCGAAGTAGACGACGTGGACGTCGATGTTGATGACGTTGAAGTCGATGTGGAGGTTGATGATGTTGAGGTCGAGGTAGACGATGTCGAGGTCGACGTAGAAGTGGAGGAGGTGGATGTTGATGTTGTGGATGTCGACGACGTCGAGGTCGAAGTAGACGACGTGGACGTTGAAGTCGATGTGGAGGTTGATGATGTTGAGGTCGAAGTAGACGATGTCGATGTCGATGTTGATGACGTTGAGGTGGATGTTGAAGTGGACGAGCTCGAAGTAGACGATGTCGACGTAGAAGTTGAGGAGGTGGATGTTGATGATGTCGAGCTCGAAGTAGACGATGTCGACGTAGACGATGTCGAGGTTGATGATGTTGAGGTCGACGTAGAAGTGGATGATGTTGATGATGTCGAGGATGTTGATGACGTTGAAGTAGAAGTAGAAGTCGAGGACGTTGAAGTCGATGTGGAGGTTGATGATGTTGAGCTCGAAGTAGACGACGTGGACGTCGATGTTGATGACGTTGAGGTGGATGTTGAAGTGGATGAGCTCGAAGTAGACGACGTTGATGATGTCGACGATGATGATGTTGATGTAGAAGTCGANCCAAGTTCTTCAATTCTGTCATTTCATTCATGTAATTTTACAAGGGTTTTCTACTATGTCGTGAAGAAAATATATACGAAGGAATGTTTAAACTTTCTTTTCACTCGTAAAGAATTAAACTACTCGTCTTATAAGGGGAGATCTTCTGATGTACAAGGTTTCTTCTTATGTCTTAGGCTTTACTCGTGGTAGTTGTAGTTGTAGTTGACGTCGATGTTGAGGTAGATGAGGTCGAACTGGATGTGGAAGTTGAAGTAGACGACGTGGACGTTGAAGTCGATGTGGAGGTGGATGATGTCGACGTAGAAGTGGAGGATGTTGATGACGTTGAAGTCGACGTAGAAGTCGAGGACGTGGACGTTGTTGAGGTGGATGTTGAAGTGGACGATGTGGACGTTGATGACGTCGAGGTCGAAGTAGATGACGTGGACGTTGAAGTCGATGTGGAGGTTGATGATGTCGACGTAGAAGTGGAGGGTGGGGAGGGGGAGGTTGTGGATGTCGATGACGTCGAGGTCGAAGTGGAGGATGTGGACGTTGATGTTGTGGATGTTGATGACGTCGATGTCGAAGTAGACGATGTTGAGGTAGAAGTGGAGGATGTGGACGTTGATGTTGTGGATGTCGATGACGTCGAGGTCGAAGTGGAGGATGTGGACGTTGATGTTGTGGATGTTGATGACGTCGATGTCGAAGTAGACGATGTTGAGGTCGACGTAGAAGTGGAAGATGTTGAAGTCGAAGTAGAAGTCGAGAACGTGGACGTTGTTGAGGTGGATGTTGAAGTGGACGATGTGGACGTTGATGTTGATGACGTTGAGGATGTCGACGTAGAAGTCGTTGAGGTGGATGTTGATGATGTGGACGTCGATGACGTCGAGGTTGAAGTAGACGACGTGGACGTTGAAGTCGATGTGGAGGTTGATGATGTTGAGGTCGACGTGGACGTCGTTGAGGTGGATGAGCTCGAAGTCGAGGTCGACGTAGAAGTCGACGACGTGGACGTCGTTGAGGTGGATGTTGAAGTAGACGAGCTCGAAGTGGACGATGTGGACGTCGATGTTGATGACGTTGAGCTCGAAGTAGACGATGTCGAGGTTGACGTAGAAGTGGATGATGTTGATGACGTTGAAGTAGAAGTAGACGACGTGGACGTCGATGTTGATGACGTTGAGGTGGATGTTGAAGTGGATGAGCTCGAAGTAGACGACGTTGATGATGTCGACGATGATGATGTTGATGTAGAAGTCGAGGAGGTGGATGTGGACGTTGTTGACGTCGACGTGGATGAAGTGGATGTTGAAGTAGATGATGTGGATGTGGAGCTAGTTGATGTACTTGTGGTTGTGTATGTTGTAGTTGTGGTAACAATTGATTCAGTGGTGACTATATTCAATGTTGTTGAAGTGTAGAATGATGAATTAGTTTGATTAGTGGATGTTGTGACAACAGTTGTATCTACTGAAGTACTGTTGATTGACGTATTTGTTGGAAAACTTGTCACTATTGTTATTGCAGTAGTTTGTGTCAATGTTACTAAAATGAGTGATAGTACACGTTGTTCGCGCTAAAGCTGAAGATACATGAGAAGAACCCCTTTTTCCCGTATAATGCATTGTGGAAAAGATATAGTAGAAGATCGATTGAAAAGATTATTTGAGTGAAATGACAGAATTGAAGAATTCGATCTTCTACTATATGTAAGAGTGATAGGGACAACAGAGATTATTTACTTGTCGTGTCGGAATATTTGCTGGTTGTGACAAATATCGGTACAAGGAGTGTAACGGTGAATACAACTGCACCAATCGCTGCAAGGACACCAGTCAAGAGTTTAACTCGTCGACTCCTTTAATATAAGAGAAACGAATGAAGAGTGTGAGTAATGTTTTCCTTACCATCCAACATGTTGTACTGGAACTAAGAAATTTTCAAATTGATTTATTGTTTCCATATTTATTTGTTCTTCTTGAGCCATTTGAAAAGAAATGATATTCTAAAATAAAGATCAATTCTAATTAGACAAGAGAAATAAAACTAAAACGCAACAAGTGTGGATTTCACCTGAACTATCTTGAGATTCTATTCGATTAAAATGACTTAACTCAATATTATAAAGCGAGTTTACAGACATATAAAAATGAGGTTCGATCTATTCTATGTAATTGTTCATAAAAATCGTAATCAGTTGAGTTTTTTTCTCCAATAAAATTCATAAATAAATGATCAATAGTAGAAAAGTTTGATTTGTTTCTATCGTAGAGAAAAAATTGAAAATGAAGAAGAAAACAATGGATTTTGACAATTTCATCAGTTTGTATGTCGACTTTACTTACTTGTTTAGCAAAACTATAAGAATGTTTTTTCCGTAAAAGAAAGTGAATTGATGAAAAGAGAAAAATCTGTTATGTTGTTTGATTTATCTCTATAGAAATGTAATTTTGTTTAAAATGGAACATAAAACGAATGAAAACAGTAAAACAAGAGAATGTCACTTAAGTTTATTGAAATCTAAAAGAGCGTTCATTCATACGCGACTTTTCATTTGAAGAAAAAAAAGAGAAAGGAAAAAGAATGTTGGAGATTTTGTTTTGAAGAAGAAGAAGAAGAAATCAAATGAAAAGATATTCGACGTCATATCAGAGTTTGTCAATTGAATCAACAGTTTTCACGCTGTCAACACTTTTGCTTTTTTCTTGAATTCAATGAGAAAATGCTGAAATCTTCGAAATAATCTTTGAACAAAGAAAAAAGGAAATCGATCATTGAATTGAATAACTGATTAGTCGTTTCTTCTTTCTTAATAACCGACAATCAATCTTAAGTATTTTCTAATTACACAAAAGAATTTCAAACGAAGAAAAGAAACTCTTTCTTACCTTTATAAAACGCGAATTTCAATAAATCAATGTACGTCGTGATTTTTGTTTCTTTTTCCGTCAAGAAAATTGCAAAAACCGACAAAGAAAACGTTTTATGTGTATTGAAATGAAAAAGAAGAAATGTCTGATATTTATATTTGACTTTTTCAACCGTATCTTCGTTGTCAAGTAAACATGTTTTATTTTTCAATCGAGGGAAAACCTTAATTACTCAAAAGTTTCTTTATGTCATACAAAAAACCTTTTACACAATATTTATTATTATAATAACAAAATCAATTTTTGTTATCGTTCAATAAGAGACGTGTTTTGTTGGATTTCATATTTTCTTGTCAGAAATCAGATGCATCATGATAACAACACTAATTCAAATATTTTCAAGAAAAACCTTCACAAAGATGAAAATAAGTAAAATCGGGAAAATTTTCCTTGTCAACAATTAACGTGACAATTGTTTTTCTCTTTCTTCGTTATATATTTGAAATAAAAATAAAAGAAAACATTTGTGTTAAGTAAAACAATGAATGGAGAGATCGAAAAGAAGATAAATTAGATAATCAGTTCATCTGTCGAAGAATTTAAATGAAAAAATATAATAAAATGGAAGAATCGAAGTTTCGTTGGAATAGTTTAATCTGAGTGTTATAGGTCACATAGTACACAGATAAATCATAGTGCGAGAATGACTAATTCCAAACTTTCAAATGACACCTTAATAACCTTCGTAGTTTAAAACTCAAATCGAGTTGACGATATCTACATTACTTTATATATCAATAAAATTCTCAGTCGAATTTCTATTTGCATTTGCGCATCTCTCCATCTTAATTAACAATATATATCGAGAAATAATCAGCAGTATTTGTAAGAGTTTGTTTTATTCAATTTGGACTTTTCTCCCAAGAAGAAACATAAATATAGAGAAATGTAATTTACATCCTGATGATTATTTACTTAAATATGAACATATGAGGCCGTCGTGGCCCACAATGGCCTTAAGTGTTATGAGATCACAGCGTAAATTTCGGATGATTTTATTGTGCGAGAGATTGATAAAAGATTTCAGCTTTTTTAATGTTGGTCAGAAGTCTGAATCAATGAATGATCTCAGATTTCGACATAACTGAAAGATTATTTCAATGTGTCTCACCAATTATTCAAATAAAGGAAACATATTGAGCGGTTACACGCTTTTAGTAAAGACAAAGAAATATTGTTGAACACTTCAATTAATCCCATCAATGAGATAGAGCGTATTAAGTGACGATTTTGCCGTTTTAATAGAAGAGCACTCGAATGAACTCATATCTATGTAGACCAGCTCGATCAAATACCAGTACTTATTAGAATGTCACCGTCAATTAAGATAATTTTCAGCAAAATGGTACACTGTTTTGAAATAAGTTTGGAGAACAAAAATGTATCTCGACATATTTTTGATCTTATGTCATTGAATGTCTGAAATAGAATCATTATAAGAAAAAAAGCTGAATGAATACACCGATAGACGACATTGAAATGGTTTCTTTTTGTTTCATATGAATTTTCAAAAATATATATAAATTGTCACTGTATAAGAAGTGTAAATCACATTCATTCTTTTGTACAACATACGTTTATTACACAAAGATATTCCGTAACATGAACAAGTATCGATTTGTTTCTCTGTCATTTGTCCCGCGATCATCTACGGTAATGATATACAGGAAAGCCTTCTTTATACTGTGCACATTTATTCAATGTAAACAACAGCGCAGAGCGATCTTTTGTTTGAAATTGATATCTATCTCGTCGGAGTGTTCGTTTTAGATTTTATATCCTAGGAATAGAAATTTTAGTAATAAATACTTTCTTATTTTGAACAATGACAGAATTTTTTGTCTTCATCAGTCCGAAGATCCTTCTCCAATATGAACTTTTTTCGTTTTACTCGAGTTCAAAGTCATAGGGTTGTCCTCGCGCATACAAAAGATCAAGGATAGATTTCTGACTTATGTAGTGACTGATTTTTCCCTTAATCGTGTATATTTAAGAGGCTATTCTCGTCAGCAGACTACAATATAGAATAATACTGCAGATTTTTGAATGGAAAGAAACGATTACAGTGTTATTTATACTAAATGATTATTGTACTCTCTGTCTGTTTTAGGTAAAACCAATTCATAAACAACGACAATATGCGAATACTCCGACTTCATCATCACCATCACCAACTGCAAATATATGGACAACGCTGACCGAAACTCGTAATGTTCAAATAATGCCACCAAGAATATTGATGATACAAGATGGTGGAAAGCAGCAAAAGCTCCCTATTGATCCGATACAGAAAGTAAGCCGAAGCACCAGTATCTCTTCCCCTGTGGTGGGTGGAGCATATTTAATTGGCAAAAAACCGACATGTCTGGAGATATCACTTATGATTTTTGGAATCCTTACCACACTCGCTGCATTGGCAGCATTAGCAATCAGCATTTATTTACTCACTAATATCCGTTCACCAACAAAGACATGTATGACTACAGGTAATTGATCTAATAGAATGTCGCCTTTTATTCTCTGAAATCAGAAAATCGGGACGAAATTCTTGATGTTTCGGGTTTTTAGGTTGTTATTGTAATTAGTTTCGAATTTCTTTCATCTACGCTTAATTGATTTTAACCACCATTCAATTGCTTTGATTAATCTTAGACATCTATCTATGTCAAGAGATTTCGATCTAACTTTATTCTAAAAGCCTTTTTTGAGTGAAAACGATCAGACACTATGAGCATAACATAAATTACTGAAGAATTAAAAAAAAGATGAATCGATCGACATAATGTTCTTCTTTTCGTTTTCAGTGACGACAACGACAAGTACAAGTACAAGTACAACTACCACTACAAGTGCAACTACAACGACCAGTACAAGCGCAACTACAGCGACAACCACAACCACAACTTCAAGTACAACGCCAGATCCAGGTAATATCTGGGTTTTTTTTTCAAGTAACAATCGATTATTTTTCTAACATAGTTGTTCCACTTCACCTAAATCTATTCTATGTCAAATTATATAGAAGATTAGTTCAAATGTAATACAACGGAACTCGTCGAAACTTCTTGATAGAATAGAATCAGTTGATCGATAGTTTAACTAAAATAAATCTATAGTATTTCGGCATATGTCGAGTTTGATCTTCTCGGGTTCGATGATTCTCAGGACTGGAAAACTATAGTATCAACCGTTCAAAACCGATCCTACGAAGAAGTTATCTTGTTAGTGAAAAAACCTTATACAATAGACTGATAAAAAATTGACAAGACTCACAAATCGTATAAGTAGTACGTTAATACGACTTTATTGCTATTATGAGTCTCTTAAGTTGTCACAATCGATTTCTAAAACCATAAGAATTAACCATTGGTTTTTTGTTTTTTTTTAAAAGCGTGTTCTGCAATCTATTTTTCCAATGGTGACTTTGAATCTGGTACTTCTGCAGGCTGGACAATTGGTGGTGGTTATCGTAATGGAGACTTATCAAGCAACATTTATTCCGGCGACTACTTGCCTGGTGGTTCACATTATAATTTGACCATTGCCAATACGCATTCAAGTATTGTTACTCATGGCTACGATCCGGTCCTTGGTAATTTAATGCCAGACATCGTATATAGAGGAAATTATTCGTGGCGTGTTGAGGATACGATATCTGGTGGATACGGATCAGTTATTTCTCAACAAGTCAGTAATTATTCGTGTTCGGATATATATTTTGCGTGGTTAGCGGCTTTAGAAAATGGTGGTCACACCGCAGATCAATCGACCGTTATGATTATCGAATTGAAAGATACGACTGTTGGGGACATAGTACTCAGACGCGTCTACAATGCTGGAGCTTCAGGTGGAGTCGACACTCGTTTTAACCAATCTGGTTCGTATTTTTACACACCTTCTTGGCAAATCGAGCACGTGGTTATCAATAGTACTCGTCTAGGCAACAACTTCACTTTAAGTGCACTCGCTATAGATTGCGCACTAAATGGTCATTCAGGTCGTATTTATCTCGACAATTTCGGTGGTGTTCCATTATAATCCACGATTATGAACTCGTCATTTTCTATGAGTAGAAATTCAACCGTTGGTTCAAATAAGAATATCTTAATCATTATTCGAACTTCGAATCCTTCTTATTTCATTTTTCTAAAGATGTTTTCAAACGAATCTATAAATTCGAATCCAAGAAAAGAAATTTTCTTATGGTTAAATCACATCATTCTGATTCTGATATAAAATATTCGTCCAATCAGGAGAACGAAAGGAAAGAACAAACAGAATGTTGTATATAATATAGCAGAACAATTACAAATATTTATTCATGAAAGAATACAAATGATTTTACACTTTGAAAAATCACATCGAATCTTTCTGATTTTCAAGGCATTTTTTAATTAATCTTAAAAGATAAATAATCTTCATACGATAAAGAACATTGTTCTCTTCAAAGATTTTCATTTCATATGATTTGTCAACGACTGAATAATGGAAACATCTCTATTTGATGAATATTTGTAATATAAAATATTTGTATTGATGAAAAAAGTCCTTGATAAAAATCAATGACGAACAAATTATGAAAATGACATATTGATATTTTGGTAAAAGTCTTCGTCTTAATGAGAAAAAAAAGAGAACATTTCCACATGAATAAATACGAAATGAAAGAATGATAAAAGAAAATAGTTCGATTTTCTATGACATTCACGTTCATGTCCTTGTTACTCTTCATACTTTTCATTATCATAAACATATATTTACATTTACAAATTCATTTTTTTCTTCATTTACAAATCTTTTCTTTCAACATTCGATTTCATTGGATTTTTGTAATTTTATCAAAAAAGAAAAGATTGTGTTGTTTTTTTTGTCTGTCTGAAAGATTGAAAATGTCCATGAAAATGATAAAATGTTCTTCATATGACATTCATTATATGGTCATTAAAGAGTAATGACAACGTCTACGAATGAAACATTCTTTTCTTTTTCTCGAAATTCTTTTTTAGATATTTGACAAATCAAATGAAATCATAATGTTTAAAAATATTCAAATAAATCTTCCATTTAATCATCAACATACATTAGATCCGAAATTTATTTTAATTTTATTTTGTGTTGAACTTGGTTCCTTAATCTTCAATAGTCTTCATATCTTTTCACCTGAACTTCATGTTTATAATGCTTATAATGAAGTTCCTATTGTTTATCAAGCTTCTTCCAAAGGTTATTCTTGTTTTTCAAATATAAATTATTGTATTTATGAAAATAAACAATTACGTTTTTTAAAAATACTCGATTTAATATTTATTTCTTTAATTGTCATAAGTTATTGTTTTCTATTTGTCATTTTAATTCGTCATTGGCAAAATATGAAAATTCGTTCAAATATCAAAATAACTTGGTACGCATCGTTACAATTAATCATTATTTTAATTTTATCTCTTCATATATTATTACGAATTATTTTATTTGAACGTGATACAACGAATAATAATCAATGTAATCGACAAAATCGTTTAATTCGTTTCGAAAATGCATTTAATTATTTTGTTTTGAGTATTGTGGAAATATCTTATTTGGCTTTTGATTTAGTTAATAGACAATCATTACCAAAAGAAGATTCGAATCTTGAATATCAATATTCAACACAAATACCTGAAGTTCGTCATCTCAATTCTGATCACGAACATCGTTCTCACAAAATTAGAAATTAATTTCTTTTTTCTTTTATTGAAGAAAAAGGCAATTAAATGAAGAAGCATCCCTCTATCGAATTTCAAATAATTAAAGATTAATAATTGATCAAATTCAATAAGCTTCGACAGTCAATTGTTGTCGAAGTTCACAAATTTCTTCATCAATTCGTCTTCGATTTGTATCATCGACATTAATTTCATTTAAATTCTTTTCTTTCATATTCTTTACATGTCCATATTTTTCCACAATAAAAGCATAAAATTTAAAAATCCAACTTCCTAAAATTCCTCCAATCAATGGCCCAACAATGGGAATCCAAAAATAATGATTATTCACCGTAAAAACATTGATCCATCCATAAATAAATGCACCTAAAAGACGTGGGCCAAAATCACGAGCCTATAAATCAATGAGAAAAAGGTCAAAAGAAAATATCAGATGAATACGATCTTCCTACAGGATTAAGTGCAGCCGCAGCATTGATAGAAAATGCACAATTAATTCCAATAACAATAAAAATCAATGCAAATGCTTTATTTCCAACCGAAACTAATTGATTAAAATGCTGAAAACATTCGAAATTGATTCATTTCTCGACAAATCCTTTCATTTTTACTTGATCAACAGCCATAATAAAGATTAATAAAAGAGCTGTACCAACAATTTGATCTAATAGAGCATTCCAATGTGGAACATCAACACCAGGCATTGTAAAAAAGATATCACCTGTACCATTAATACCGATTATTTGACGAAATCCTCCATCAAATCGATTAAATTGACTCCAATAAACTAAATAAACTAAAGTTGCACCTAAAAATGCTCCAAAGATTTGACCAATGACATAAAATAAACATTTTAATGGTTTTAATTTGCCTACAGTCATAAATGAAATACTAACAGCCGGATTTATATGTGCTCCTAAATACACACAAATATTTTTTTTCAAAAGAGAATTGATTCGCTTAACCAGTAATTGATCCTCCAGCCATCAATGCTAAAATCAAAGAAATTGTTTTCGAGAAAAAGAAAAGTTTTTTCTTTTGAAAATCTCTTTTTCAACCTGTATAAATTCCAACACCAATTGCGATATAAATTGTTATTACCGAATGTGTTGTTAATTGTGCAAATTTATAATTTGCAATTGCACCTTCATTGAAAACAATTAAAATAAATGTTCCAAATGTTTCAACAAAGAAATCAACAAAATATTCTTCCAAATCTTTCTTTGTCACCATGTTTCTCCAAAATTATTTTGTTAAAACATATTTTATATTGAAATTTCATATAATTTCTCTTTCTTTCTGTTCTTTTTACCTATCTATCGTCACATGTAACGCAGAGAACATCAATATTATGAGAGGAAAAGTATATTTATATTTCTTTTATCACGTAACACGTACTTTTTTCTTTGTATTCAAGGCAATAAGAAAATGTTACACCGATTCAACTCTGCTGATTATATTCACATAATTGATCGATCGTACATCGAAAAAAAGGCGTTCGTTTTCGTTTGTACCTGGACAAGTCCAAAAGAAATACGAGAATTTACAAAAATAAATCAACATCTTCTTCGATTTCATTCAAATCTCAGATAAAATATTCGCTCAGTTTTGCTTTTCATACACAAATATGTTTCGACGTGAAATAAATTCTTTGAATAAATATTTACAAAAAAGAGAAAAAAAATCCAATTCATCATATTTTTTGTTTGTAATTTCATGAAAAGAACAATCAGTACACACGTATAAACAATAGATACGTCATCAATAGGCGTGAATAAATGATGAGAATAACGAAGAAACAAATGTATATCTATCTCATTCATTGTCTAAACATAAAACCTTCGTATTCATTACCAAACAAACTATCAAAATGTCGAATTCAACAGATTCGAGTTCTTTACTTCCAACACCAAAAACATATCAAATTGTTCTTGGTTGTATCTCATTTTTTATCATTTTACCATTTGTATTACTTCCAATGAAACGTTATCCATTAGGAAGTACAGGTGCTGTTCTTTTTGGTGCTTTTCTAATGGTTATAACCAATGTAATAAGTCAATCACGTGTTTATCAAGTTATTGGAGATGAAAATAATTTAAAAACAATTTTTCTTCTTTGGGGAATGATGATTATTTCTTCATATTTTGAACGTGAACAATTAATTGATCGATTATTAGATAAACTTTTTCCCATTGGTCTTTCATTTCATTGGTGGTTAATTCGTTTAAGTTGTATTGATTCGATTTTAGCAGCACTTTTTACAAATGATGTTGCATGTGTCATTCTCACACCATTAATTCTTCAAAAATGGTCTTTACAAAATCGAAATCGAAAGGAATTGAATACATTACTTTTAACAATTGCAACACAAGCAAATATTGGTATTCAAAATTGAATTTTTCAAAGAAAGAAATAAAAAAAAGCGATTGTTTTCAAATTTAGGAAGTACATTGACAATCTTTGGTAATCCTCAAATGGCTTTAATGGCATCAAAATCCAGTTTATTTGTTGATACTCATAGTCGATTAGAATTAAAAACATGTGTAGAATATTTATGGCTTCCAACATTTGTTGTTTGGCTTTTAAATATTTGTTTTCTTTTGTTTCATTATCATTTGAGTCAATGTGGTCAATCAAAAGAAATTTCCAATGAACAAATAGAAGAAGAAAATTCCAGTGAATTATCAACAATAAAACAAATTGAACAACCAATTATTTCAACACTTTCAATTCCTCGTTTTACTGAACGTTTTCGTCTGCGACAATTTGGTGAAAATATTGTTCAATCTTCATTTGTTGTTTCTCAAGAAAATCCAATAATGATCGATCGAAGTGTTTCAATTTCTTCTCTTCCAATTCAAGACAATTCTCAAGATGATGATCAAGATAGTTTTCAAGCATCAGAATCGAAAATTTTCCGACTTGTTCTTTGTATTTTACTTCTTATTGTTATTGGATTATTATTTGCTTCAAATGATAAAGTTTATTTTGATATTGGTAAAAATCATTTCATTGAATATTGAAAAGAAATTCGTTTTTCTTTTCTTCTTTCCAAGGTTTAATTCCTGTTGGTGCTGCGATTATTTTATTAGTTATCGATACATTAATTAATCATCAACCACCAATATTTATTTTAGTTCGAATTGATTGGAATGTTCTTCTTTTATTTTTTGGTCTTTTTGTTTGGCTTGATGGTCTTAATTCAACTGGAATTCCTCATCGTCTTTGGTTTGTTTCTTTGTTTCTCTCTTAAATCTTTCTACAATGAGATGATTTATTTAAGGATTGCTCTTAATCTCGATCAAGCAACATTATTAGATATGAAATCTTTGATGCTTTTCTTTATGTTTACGATTATTGGTAGTAATGTTTTTTCAAATGTTCCTTTAACATTACTTATTCTTGAACAAGTTCCACGTACAGGTGATCATTTAAGTTTAATTTTATATTTGGCTTTTCTTACGACAATTGCGGGTAATTTGACACTTTTTGGTAGTGTAGCAAATTTAATTGTTGCACAAAAAGCTTTATCAAGTGATCTCAAATATCGATTTACTTTTTGGACTTATTTTAAATTTGGATTTGTAACAACAATTCTTTTTTCTTTTATTGGAATGTTTATTATTTATGGATTAATTTCTGTTATTCATTAAACATTTCTTTTCTTTTCTCTTCATCGATTTATTCTCGCTAAATTGTTCTTTTTTCTTTATCCTTTCACAAACTTTTGTTTTAGATTTTCTTTATTTCGAACTTTTCTTCTTTTTCTTTTAATCTTAAGTTGACGATATGAGTACTCAAGATAAGACTAGTCTATACCAATAAAAAGACGAAAAAAGAAAAGAACCTTGAAGAACAAGAAAAATGTTATTTTTCTCGTTAACATTGTTGTTAATCATCATTTTAATCATTTATTTGTGGAAATTGAATTCAAGTTATTCGTATTTTGATGTTCGTCATATTCGTGGACCACGTCCTTGTTTTTTCTTTGGTCATTATAAAAAACTTTGGTCAGTAGAATCGATATCACGTCAATGGGAAAAATGGACTAAAGAATATGGATCAATTTATGGTATTTTTGAAGGAACACGTCCAGTTTATGTTGTTTCAGATGTGAATTTCTTAGAAGAAGTTTTTGTCAAACAATTTCAATGTTTTCATTCCCGACGTTTACCATTTGTAAGTCAATTAAATCAAGGAAATCTTATTCATCTTTTTGGAGCAAAAGGAAATCGTTGGCGTCGTCAAAGACATATTCTTAATCCAACATTTTCATTTTCCAAATTAAAATTAACAACACCAATTCTAAATCGATGTATTTCTTCATTTCTCAACAAACTTCAACAATATGAAAATCAACAATTTGATATTTATCCATTGTTTAAACGATTAACAATGGATTTTATTTGTAAAAATCACAAATCTTCTTTTGTTTTTCCTTTCAATCATTTGTTTCTCTTTTTCTCCAGGTCATTCAGCTTTTGGAATTGAAAGTGATATGCAAAATGATTTGAATAATCCATTTCTAAAGAAATCAATGCAATTTTTCGAAGTTAATCCTGAGAAATTATTTCTTGTGAAAATTAGTTGTTTAATGCCTTGGTCAATTCCAATTCTTTGTCAAATTGTTTATTTGATTTTATTCTTCGCAAAAAATTCTTCGTTATTTATTTCCAAATCAAATGAAAGAATTCGAAGAATTTCCCGGAATGTGGATTACAAATCAAGTGAGACAAGTCATTCAATTGAGAAAACAACAAGATAATCATCCAATGGATTTATTACAATTAATGATCGATGCAACAACAACAAATTTTCAAGTAAAAGATATACAAATGAATCGTATCTTTTCAAGAAGATTTCGATTGATTTTTAGAACGACGATGATGATGAAGATGAGAAAATTTGTCATTTCAAACAACTTCATCCAGATGAAGTGGCATCGAATGTATTTTTCTTTATGATCGCTGGTTTTGAAACAACTTCAACAACATTGGCGAATTCGACATATATTTTGGCGACAAGATTTGATGTTCAAAGAAAACTTCAGAACGAAATCGATGAAATTTACAGAAAATACGATGGAAAATGTGATTCTGATCATATAAATGAAATGATTTATTTAGATTTATTTCTTCGAGAAGTTTTACGAATGTATCCAATTGCTCTTCAAGCGATTTCGAGACAATGTAACAAAGAAACAATGATTTGTGGACATGAAATTGGCAAAGGATGTGTAATTCAACCAGATATTTTAAGTTTACATTATAATGAATATTTATGGGGTCCTCAAGATCCCAAATTATTTTGTCCGGAAAGACATTTAACTCGACGACATCCAATGGCTTTTTTATCATTTGGACAAGGTCCAAGAAATTGTATTGGAATGAAATTTGCCTTTATGGAATTGAAATTATGTTTAACACATCTTCTTAGACATTATTCGATTCTTCCCACAGAAAATCTTCAACAAAATTTCATTCACCGAGAAACATTGGTTATTCAACCGAATTCGATTGAGATTAAACTTGAAAAACGTTCCTTTGAAAAGTTTCAATAAATGAAATTAAGAAAAACAAAACTCTTTCTATTTGATGTGATGTTTTGTCATTTTCATCGTGAAAAAATGACTTAATCAAAATGATGAGAAAAAAAGGCGGAGGACAAGAAAAATATTTATTTGAATCCACATATAAATGTATATATTGATTTTCAATTAATCGCTTTGTTCGATATCGTTTTTCTTTTCTTTTCTTTTCTTTTTATCAAGGAAAAAAAACAACGAGTATATCAATTTCATTTCTTTTTATTTCTATCAAAATCAAAATAAGAAAAACAAGAAAAGTACATTGGTGTCTTTGACAATTTAGTAAAACAAAAACAAATTCAAAATGTTAAAATTTCCGTATCTTTTGTTTTATTTTGGAATATCAATGATAAATGGTGAAATCCGACGATTAAATTATCCATTAGATAATGATATAACTTCTTTAGAATCCGATGGAATTATAAGTTATGTTCTAACTCAACTTCATGGAAATGTTTTCAAAAGTACATTACAAATTGAAACTGAACAATGGGTTCATGATTGTTGTATCACTGTTAAATCGAGAAATACTTTAAAAATTACTATTAAAAATGGACAATATCCAAAGATTATCGCTTATGTTGGAATAAGAAAATCTTTATCATTAATTGAAATGTCAGGAACAGAACGTATTCGAACAACAAATTCAATTGATTCTCAATATTTAAAATTGAAAATGTCTGGATCAAGTAGTGGAGATATTCAATTAAATGTTTCTTCAAAACTTCATATTGAAATGTCTGGTACAGCTCATCTAACTTTATCAGGTCATGTCAATGGTTCTGGTTTTATTCATTTAACTGGTGTTAATACATTTGATGGAACAAGATGTTCAATAGAAAAAGTTTCTTTATTTGTTACTGGTGTTGGAACAGCATATGTAGTTGGTTATGCTGCTGTTGATATTGATGTGTCCAGTGTCGGAACAGTTTATTATAGAGGACCAATTAGAAAATTACATTATACTGGAGTTGGATCGGTCAAATCAATGGATAATTGGAGTAAATATTCATTTAGATCATCAGCCAATTACAAAAAACAAAATCATTTGACATTTGCGATTTTCGTCATAATTCAATTTATTCGTTCTTTATTTTATTAAAACGATAAAATGAAAAGATTAGATTTGAATGATATATCATCAGGTGACATGTACATCAAATCGTTTCTTTTCTCATCTTATATGTCTGTCGATAACAAGTTTTTTTTTCTTTCTTTTCACTAACCAATCATCATAAACTGACCATTTCTTTTTTTTCTATTTTCTCATTTCAATAAAGATCAATTAACAAATTGTTTGAGTCTTTCTTGTCGATGATACAGAAAGTGATCGTATCATTAAATAAGACAATTTCCTTATTTTGGACGAGATCGAATGCTTTCGATACTTCAGTTAAACATTATTTTTTTGTTTTTGAACTTGCCGTTGAGTTCATTAGATAATTTATAATTGATCATTGAGAAAACTTCTTAGTTATGTAATCTTTATATTTGTTGAAAAGAAAAGAAAAGAAAGAGTTAATTATTATTCAAAGAAATGTTCAATTTAATGGGAATTAATTTAACGTTGTAGAATTCTTTTCATTCGTAATTGATGTCTCGTCTTTGCTTTAATATTAACTGGATTGAACATCGTAGCATATTTCGTAAAGGCAGCGTACATTGCTAAAGCTTGGATTGGCATCATGAATAACATGGCCACAGCACTCATAATTCCTACTGTTTGTTGACAAACATCTTCCTATGAAATTAATAATAAACATACAGAGAGATATGTTCATACTGAAATGAATACTTACCATGTCTTTTGGATACATAACAGCAACTGTTGATTCAGTTGTTGAACCAGATACAGTTGGACCAGCTGATGTGGAAGCTGAAGAAAAAGAAAGAGATCAATAAACTTTATTGAAATTATAAAGAAAATCGGTTGTTCATTTACCAACGGTGGTTACTCCAGTTGTTGATGTTGTTGCTGTTGTAGTTGCTGGAAGTGTTGTTGTTATAACAATACCAGTTGTTGTTAACTATTGAAAATTAATTATAAGGAGATTTTATATATAAACAAAGAAAGAATTCATACTAAAGTATTGATACTGGTGGTCGATGTTGGTTTTGTAGTGACTGTTAC